AGGGAGCTGCACTGCTTCAGTGGGAATCTTTATCAGGGCTGGTTTTATGTTGGCAAGACTCAGCTTGTGGATGCTGGGTGTTGTGTGCAACGGCCTGGGAAAAGCCGAGCCTCTGTGCCCCATCCCATGGCACAGGCTTGGGCCGGGCGCCTGAGCTGCCCCTCCAGAGGGACCAGCACAACCCAGTTGGAGAATTGAGATGAAGTCTCTTGGAATAACCTCCTGGCACCAAGTCCTGATGGCTGTTGGGGAGGGAAGGCAGCCAAAGCTCATTTTGCAGTCTGAGGGCTGCAGTAACACCCCTCCAAGCTCCCCTGCCAGCAGGGAGCCAGGAGCATTTTGGGAATGAGGGGGACACAAATCCTTTCAGCTTGTGACTGCAGCCACCACGGGTTTTGCTGTGTCCTTGCTGGGGCTGCAGCTCCCATGTGAATTAAGCCAAGACCTAAAATTGCTGCATACTTGGTTGCCATCCAGGTCTTAATCCCATGGCCTGGGGGCTTCTATTTGCAGAGCAACAGGTTTGCAAGCAACTGCGTGCTGCTGGGACAGGGACCCCCAGGGCTGGCTTTCCCTGCGCTGTGCAGTGGCACCCACAGGTGTTGGGGAGATGCAGTGCTGCAGGGTTTGTGGCCAGTGGCTCCTGGTGGTACCAGCTGGGCAGCAGCTTGCTGGCACCTGTTTTTTTGGGAGGGCTCGGACCTGCCAACTCTTTTCCCATCAGTTCACCACCAGCTGGGGTTTGGCAGAGATGGGGGGGGGGGCACGAGCTAGCACGTGGCTCTCACCTAGCTTCTGGGGTGCTGCAGCCTTCGCCCTGGCAGCACTTGGCTTTCGTGCAGCCAGAAAAGCCCACTGGGACCAGGCTCGCTCTGACTGGGCTCCAGGTTGGCTGCTTCCCATGCGAAACTCCAAATGCCTAGAGGTGGCTTTTATGTGGTCCTGCTCTGCACTGGCCCAGACTTCCCTTTCCCAGCACGCAGAGGCGGGCAGTGGGGACCTCGCTGATGGGAGGGGTACAAGACCTGGAAGGGGATGGGGTGTTTGGAAGCTTTTAAAACGCAGGGTAGTGAGTTGGGTGGAGGGACGGTACAAGCTTGAGGGGACTGAGAAATTGCTCCCAGAGAAGGCTGACTGGTGGGAGCAAACTGTGGTGACAGCCTGAACCACTTCCTTCCTGTTTCACAGCAGCCTTTGGTTGGCCACAGCCATACCTGCTCCTGTGCAGCCCGTTTGGAGCCTTGCTGGAGCTGCAGGCTTGCTGTGCCCCCCTATCTGCCCGTGTTGCCCAGGCGCTGAGGGGAGCGCTGTGTTAGCTTGCTGCAGTATTTCCGTCTGTGGTGACCTTTAGGAAATGGTTATTTTTTTATAATGTGAAGGTTAACACCCAACTTGAAGCAAATGTTCCATCTCAGGAGCCTCTGCCACCGGTGTTGTGCCTGTGCCAGCCTCTCCTTGGCTCTCCCTACACCAAGTCAGGGAGGGATGGTTGCCAGAGGCTGGTGCTGGAGAGATCTGGCAGGGAGCTGCACTGCTTCAGTGGGAATCTTTATCAGGGCTGGTTTTATGTTGGCAAGACTCAGCTTGTGGATGCTGGGAATTGTGTGCAACGGCCTGGGAAAAGCCGAGCCTCTGTGCCCCATCCCATGGCACAGGCTTGGCATGGCCGGGCCGTGGGGCAGCTGCTGCTCAGCTCCTTGGGCACTGCCAGATGCACTGGGTCAGACCTTGCTTCCCGCCAGTGCTGGGAAGGGCTCACGTGCTGATGCTGTGACTGACTATGGGCTGCTGGCCAAGGACAAGGGCACTTTGTGAAGTACCTGGGTGGCCAATGTGGGGGCATCTCCTTTGTGGAGGGTCCCCGCTGGGGTACCCACCTCCTTGGCAGCCTCAGAGCATATTATCTGTGGCCCCTGTGATGGTGGCTGCTCATGCAAAGCTGCTCTACATCTCGGGGAGCCCATTCTGGCCTCCCTCTCTGTGCCTCCATTTCCCTCCCTGCTTCCCAGGACCTCTACTTGGATAACAGGCTGTGGGTGATGAGCTGCAGGCTCATTAGCATCTCAAGGAACAGTGTGTTGGTGTATTTTCCTAACAGACCTGAAAGGAAAATACAGATAAAAGCCCCTGGATCTCCCTGTTTCCGGTGCCCATGGCACAGGCTTGGCATGGCCGGGCCGTGGGGCAGCTGCTGCTCAGCTCCTTGGGCACTGCCAGATGCACTGGGTCAGACCTTGCTTCCCGCCAGTGCTGGGAAGGGCTCACGTGCTGATGCTGTGACTGACTATGGGCTGCTGGCCAAGGACAAGGGCACTTTGTGAAGTACCTGGGTGGCCAATGTGGGGGCATCTCCTTTGTGGAGGGTCCCCGCTGGGGTACCCACCTCCTTGGCAGCCTCAGAGCATATTATCTGTGGCCCCTGTGATGGTGGCTGCTCATGCAAAGCTGCTCTACATCTCGGGGAGCCCATTCTGGCCTCCCTCTCTGTGCCTCCATTTCCCTCCCTGCTTCCCAGGACCTCTACTTGGATAACAGGCTGTGGGTGATGAGCTGCAGGCTCATTAGCATCTCAAGGAACAGTGTGTTGGTGTATTTTCCTAACAGACCTGAAAGGAAAATACAGATAAAAGCCCCTGGATCTCCCTGTTTCCGGTGTTTGTTTGAGGCATCAGAGCATCTGCCCTTCTCCTTGGGAAAAACGTTGTGTCCAAGAGCCATGTGTCACCTTCAGAAGCTGAAATACCTATTGCCAAGTCAGCCAAAGAGCAGTAAACACTTGCCTTTTATTTCTGGGGGGGAAATTATGTTTGTTTTGTGGTTTTTTGTGGTGCTTTTTTTTTTTCCCATCTGCCTCCAGATTAGAAGGTGTAATATTATTCCTTGCCTTTTCTTTTAATGGCAATGACAGGATACGATGTGATGTCTGGGGCTGGAGATCTGGCCATGTGCCTGCTGCCTATTTTTACATGATCTGGCAGATTTTGGACAAAACCAGGAGGTTTTTGAAGAGGGGTGACACTGGGGAGATGTCCTGGTGGCAGCGGGGACATGTGGCATCGCTGCCCTTGGTAACCAGCGGGCAGCAATGCCACGTCCCCACTGCCACCCTGGAATGGGAAGATGACAGGGCAGGATCCAGCTCCCTCCAGAGCTGCTTATCACCAGCACGGATGGGAATCGCTGCAAAACCATTTTGGGGGGATTTTCTCTTGCTATTGTTCAGCTCAGGAAACAACAAATGGCGTTGGGGAGAGCAGGACCATATAGGGATCAGAGGGGAAATACCAGCTACCCCACCCACATCCCCACAGGGATTTCCCAGTTTAGTAACGGCTGAACGGGACTGATCCTGTCCTCTGACCACCCTGGTGAAATCCCAGTGAAGCCAGCACTGTGGTTTGGGCTGAAGCCTCATTGGGATTCAGCATTCCTTATCTGGAGGTGCTGCTTTCCAGGCACACCGGCTCTGTTGCTTCTAAGCCATCCAGGTGTTTACCATCGCCACTGGCATTTTGCTCCCTCAGATCTGTGCTTTTCAGATACATGTGGGATTCCCAAGTTTCACTGGGAGTGCCGAGCTCATCCACATCCAGCTACTCTTGGCAAATCATACTTGTGCTGTGCCCTCCCAGCCTGCACCAGGAAACCTCATTAGTGCCACACTCAATTAGACCCACAGCAGCAGGTTAACTAACAACCTGAAGCCTCCGTCTTCTGGTGATAAACTACTGGAAGAAACAAACAGGGAGGGACGCTGAGCGAGCCATGTGCTGGCACAGGATGGGCCCTGGATCTGTGCCTGCCAGAGGAACCTCTGGGAGAAACCCCTGCTGGTGGGAGAAGCAAGGACATTGAGTTTTCCAGGAAGCAGTTTTCCCCCAGTGTTCCTATCTAGGAAGATGGAAGGACTGGGAAAGCCTGTGGGCCTTTGTGGGTGATGCTGGTGGGTGCCCTGGTGCCCATTGGCAGCACATGAAGCAGGATGTGGCCCTATAGTGGCTTTCAGGAAGGGTGGCTTGGGAGCGGTGCTGGAGCAGGATGCAGGGTGGTCCTGGGCTGCTCTGGGTGCCTGCTTGGCTTTGGGTGTTGGCAAATGTTTGGCTCTGCCACCTGGTCTAGCAGCCCCCACCAATGCTGCCCCAGCCAGGGGGTGCTGGATCCTAGAAGAATGAGTCCCACCAGCCTTGACCCACGGCTGGGGCATCAGCAGGGTGAGGAGGAGGCTGGGCACATCCTGGAGATGCACATTGTGGTGGTGGGAAGGTGGAGGCAGGATGGGAAGGGCTGCGGGTGTGAGGACTGCGGTGGGTGAGGCAGCACCCTGGGGCCGCTGCCCTGGGGCCGGTCACAGGGGCACTGGACATGTGGACATGTGACAGAGAAGAGGGTGGTGGAGCAGAGTGTGGGATGAAAGGTGACCTGGAGGACACTGCTTGGCTGGTTGCAACGGGCAGTAGGGACTTTGGCAGCCACCAGTGTCAGTGTCACCAGGGTGGCCCGGCAGAGCCCATTTCTGAGTGGCCAGAGCAGCTTGCAACGTGCCTGGTCCCTCAGCTGATCTGCAGGAGCTGAAAGCACCTGATAAGATAATTTTAGGGCTGGTGAGTTGGGAAACCACCATTTCCTTTTGCTCCTGTCACGATAAGCAGCCAAAGCTTGTGGCACCATGTGGAGTGGGGAGCTGAAGAGGGGACCCCCCGGTGTGGGATCACTGGTGGTTGGAGCCTGTGCAGAGCCCTGGGGCTTCCTCTCAGTGCCAGGAGCCAGGGACCAGCCACCAGCCTCCCCATCCCTCCCAGCCCTGCAGCAGCTTGTGGCTTTTTCCGGTGGCAGAGACACTGGGGAGCTGGTGGTGACACCACCCGTGTCCCACCAGCACAGCCTTTGCTCACCATCCCCATGGGATGGGTGAGATTCAAACACTCCTGTGGCCCCTTTTCTTTGTGCCCTTCCAGGCCTGCCATCTCCTTGGAGGCCAAGCCAAAGGCAAGCTGCCCGGAATGAAGGTCTTCCTTCTGTTCCTTCTCTCCCCCCTCCAAGGTAGGTTGCCCAAACTGCATCCTGCCTCTGTCTGGTGGGCCGGGTTTGGGCTGCTAGAAGTATTTGTCACCCCAAAAAACTAGCTGGGGGCACCAAGGGGTGTTTCAGCCATGGCTTCCACAGAGACAAAACATCTAATGGGCCGATGTGCCCCTTGTGGGGTCTCTAGGGCAGGATGGTCCTTTCCAGAGAAAGGAGATGCCCTGGGGATGGAAAGCTCCTCTGTTGGTGGTGACACCTGGGCAAGGGTGGCACCAAGAGATGGGGTGTCCTGCCATCCCAGGAGCCTTGGCTCCCCAGCAAACCCTCCCAGCACAGCCATGGGGATGTTGGGGAGGTGGCCAGTGCCATGCAGCCCATCCAGGATGGGCTGGGACTTGGGATGTCTGGGGCAGGGACCCGGTGTGTCGCGGGTCGCGGTGCTCCCACCCCTCTGGCTGACCCAGCCTCTCCGTGCCCTTGTGCGACGCAGGGGTGGGATCCAGCAGCCGCTGGGACCATGACTTCAGCTTCTGCGGGGACCGGAATCAGACCCAGGACAGCTCTGTCATCTATGAGCACGGCCCGGCCACCATCTCTATCGAGAACACAGCCCAGGCGCTGATAATCAAAAGGCCCTTTTCACCGAGCAGGAGGAACTCTTACTACAAGTACATCTTGCCCTCGGCCTTGGGCAGGTACCGCTTCTGCATCTACTGGTTCCAGGCCAACAGGACCCTGCAACTGGCCTATGGGAAGCAGAGCTTCGTCCTGGGTGGAAACCCTGCCAGAAGCATCCCCCAAGGCAAGGAGAGCCAGGAGACCAGAAGAACCAGCAGCCCGATCTTCAATGTCTCCTACACCTCAACGGGTGGGAAGAACACCTCCCTTGACAGCACATCTCAGTACTTCTTCCCTGGTAAAGGCACCTCAACATTAATGAAATTAATTTCATCACAAGCTTGTCCAAGCCATAAGCAGGGGTGGTGGCCTGGTGTATGCTAATGTGAAGACACATCTGAAGGGCAGTGGAATGGGGTGTAGGTTTGCTTGAAGCAGCCCAGAGGCCTCTCTCCTCTTACCCAGGCTCCCTACAAATGAGATTTTCAAAAGTGGTTTGCCCCTAAAATCCTGGGATGCCTCGGCAGAGGTCTCTGAGGGCCCTGTCCATGCTGCCTCAGCAGCATGGTCCCCATGGCCTCAGTAGAAGCTGAGCTGTGGGCAGCAGGGAAGCCCTCTGGGTTGGGATCTCATCAGCTCCCCAGGCTTGGAGTCACCACGAAGCCCTCGGCTTTCTGCTCCCATCAGGGCCGTGCCCAGTTGGTTTGAGGCACAGGGAAGCCGGTGCATCTTACAGCATTTCCTTCTGTGCCCCCGACAGCGTCTCCTGAGAACCTGCCTGTCTGGGATCAGGATGTGGAGGAGCAGCTCACCACCTTGGACAGCCTCATTGCCCATCCCTTGGAGCCAGAAGCCAGGGACCAGTGGGTGTTTCGGCGGTGAGTTCCTGGCTTTGTGCCGTTCCCACTGCTTCCAGTGCCATTGCTGCTGCCTCCAGTGCCATTCCCACTACATCCCACTCACTGCACCCCTTCCCTGGCAGCAAACTTGGGGAGCTGGAGAAGACACTGGCCAAGGTGGAGCTTGAAGGGCAGAACCAGACCTTCGGGAAGGGCACTGTGCAAGCCACCGTCCTGAGGGTCCAGCCCACTCCAGCTCCCCAGCACCTGGCCTTTGCTTCCCAAAGAGAGGTGGGTACTGGGCAGCCTACCCTGGTGGGCTTGGCCCCTCTGGTGTCCTCTCCCAAGCTCTCTCCTGATGATTCTCTCCTTGCAGAAAGGTGGAGATGGTTTCGCTGTGGACCTGCCTAGCAGCCTGTTCATGATGGCAAAGGAGAGGGAGGACATGGTGGAGCACAGGGTGCTCCTTATGGACATCAACAGCCAGACCATGTTCCAGGTAATGCCCATGTGTGTGACATGGTGGGGTGCCTTTAAGGTCCCTTTCAACCCAAATCAGTCTGGGATTCTGTGAGTTAGAAGCTTGAAGGGGAAGGAGGCACAGGACCTCCTCCTTGGGGACTCTCACCCACATCAGACTCAGCAGCTCTCCCTTCCCACCCTGCCATCGCCTCCTCTTCTCCCACAGGATGAAAACAGCAGCCACATCCTGGGTGACAAGGTGGTTGGAATCTCCCTGGTGGACACAGTGGTGGCCAACCTCTCTGATCCAGTGGTCCTCACTTTCTTCCACCGCCAGCTGCCGGTAGGTGCGGAACCAGCCTCATCAGTCCTGGTCACACAGGAATGGAGGGGCAAGGAGGGCAGAGGCCATGTCACAATCCATCAGGTCCTTGCCCTTGGCTGGTCTATAGAGGGTCTGCTTTGCCTTCTGGGGTTGTATCATGATCATGGCTTCACAATGTGCACTGGTTGTGGTGCCTGCACCTGTCCAGGAAATGTTGCTTTGCAGATGTGTCACCTCCAGCCTGATCTCCAGTCCCTCAGCTCATTCATGGCCCTGTCAGGTGCCTGCTCAAAGCTCAACCCCTGGTTTGAAAAAGGGGACCTGGGAGGAGGCATCTGCTCCACCAGCCGCCAAGAGAATGGTCCCACCTGCAGCCCACTCCCATGATAGGGGACTGTTTGTCTCCTGAGACCATCTCACCTCCTGCCCCACCTTCTCCCCTGTCATATGTGCTGGCTGGGCCACAGACCCACAGCTCCATCCTGATGGGGGCCTGTACTTCTGTCATTGCAGAGGAATGTGACCCCACTGTGTGTCTTCTGGCAGGAGGACACCACTGGTGAGTGCTGCTGCACTTGGCTGTGAAGCCACATTCTGCCTTGGCTCCTTTGCAGGGCCCCACAGCTGCACCAAGCTGAGGGTACACCTGCTCTGCTCCTCCCTCCCTTGCTCCAGCTCCACACTCCTTTCCCGTGGGGCTGCATTCCAGTTTTCCCTCAGTAGCTAACCTGGGAGCTGTGTCCCTCTCTAGGGGTGGGTGCTCTCTGAGCCGGTGTGCTTGGCATGGGACAAACTGGGACCTCCACTTTTGACCTTCCTCCCTGGCCTGAACACTTTCCCTGAAGATCAATGAACCTGAGGCAGATGTTCCTGCTGCTCACCAGACATTCTCCCTTTCTTGTGCACAGGCAGTTTGGGGAGCTGGGACACCTATGGCTGTGTGACAGCACCGGGAAGCAGCTGGACGGACTGCAGGTGCAACCACCTCACCTACTTTGCCGTGCTAATGGTGGGTACCACCTTCCCACAGCTCTCTGCATTGTCCCCATCAGCTGAGCTTTCTCACCATGTCTTGTTCCTCCTCCTCAGGTGTCCTCCCCAGAGATCACTTATGTACACAGGGACTACCTGAGCATCATAACCTACATTGGCTGCCTGATCTCAGCTTTGGCATCCATTTGCACCATCCTCTTCCTCTACTTCAGGTACAGTCTGACAGGTGACCCCATGCTCCCCATCTGTGTCCTGACCATTGCCACTGCACCTGGGTGAGTGCAAGGTCTCCAAATGCAGTTGGTGGCATGGTGAAGGAGACATGCTTGAAGAAAGCCAAGTTCTCTCCAGAAACCACCCCCTTGGTCATTTCTCCAGCATGATGCTTGAAAACATTGGTTGTTTTCAATTATTTGGGAAAATTACCTTGGTTGTTGTTGATCTGGCAAGCAGAAGCCTGCAAAGATCTTTTCAAGGCCCCAGTGGAGAACATGAGTGTCTTCTCCTGAGTCATGTCACTGACCCGACGTGGATGATTCAGAGCTGAAATGATGTCACTCCCAACCCCTCATGGCCTAGACCTGACACCGGGTCAGCTGCAGGGACCTGAGTTTGCCCCTGTAACAGGTGGTCCCACCCCTGGGGTTAGGTTCTCAGCCCAACATCACTAGAGTCTCCTGGCTCTTCTGATGGGGGCAAGTTGCCCCAGCTGGAGCTGTAGGGTGCTGTGCGTCAACTGAGGATGTTGGCCAGGCATGGCAGTGAGGTCTCTCCTCACTTCTCCAGAAGCAAGCAGCGAGACCAGATCACGAGCATGCACATCCACATGAATCTGCTGGGCGCCATCTTCCTCCTGGATGTCACCTTCCTCATCTCTGAGCACCTGGCTTCCAGCAGCAGTGAGGCAATCTGCAGAGCTGGGGGGGTGTTCCTGCACTTTTCCCTCCTCAGCTGCCTCACCTGGATGGGCATTGAGGGCTACAATCTCTACCGGCTTGTGGTCGAAGTCTTCAATGCCTACCATGACCACTTCCTCCTCAAGCTCTGCCTGGTGGGCTGGGGTAAGCATGGAGGGGGCAGAAGGCACAGGCACAGGTGAGGTGGAGAGGCACCCAAGTAGGTCTTAGTGCCTGGATAGGGATGGAGATGTAGCTGTAGGGGAGCATATATGTGAGAGAAGAGGGGGCTCTCTGTCAAGAGACTTGGTGGAGAAGGAGACTCAGTAGGGAGATCTCATGACCTTTTGTGATCTAAAATTCCACAGCCCTGGGAGGTGCCCAGCTGGGGTCAGCAGAGCACAGCTCACTCCCGGGCTCATGGCAAGTGTCCTTGTTGGGTACTTCATCCTCAGTAGCCCCTTGGGAGGGAGGATCTTGGTTTGTATGGGGAGAAAGGGGCAACCGGTCCTTCCAAAAGGTCTGAGGGCCAGGGAGTAGGACAGCCACTTGACTCTGTTCTTGCCACCCAGGACTTCCCTTCCTCTGTGTGTCACTGATCCTCCTGGCGAGCTGGACAAACTATGGCCCTTTCTCCATTCCTGTCTATGAATCCATTGGTGGCAAATCCACCAATGCAACCATGTAAGTAGTGGGAAATGGGTTCCCTGGTCTTAGATAAAGTCAACTGGCTAAACCTTCACTGTGTCCTACAAACTTTCCTTAGCCCACTGGTGGCTTCTCTGGGTTTTTGTGCAGGGTGGGGGATCCCACCTCCCTGTTTGACTAAGTGGGGTCTGGGTTTGTTCCACAGCTTTGTGCTTCCACCAACCCCTCCAACTCCTGTCCCTGTGGGATGACACAGCATAACCCTCTGCTCTTTCTCCTCCCTCTAGATGCTGGATCACGAGCCCCCTGATCCATAACATTGTGAACCTGGGATTCTTCAGCCTGGTATTCCTCTTTAACTCAGTCATGCTGGGAGCCATGGTCCGGGAGATCCTCCGGCAGAACAAGAAAGGCCACAAGCTCAAGCACGTCCTAGCTCTCTTTGGGCTGAGCATCCTACTGGGCATCCCCTGGGCATTGGTCTTCTTCTCCTTCACCTCTGGAGTTTTCCGCCTCGTTTCTCTCTATATCTTTACCATTGTCAACTCCCTGCAAGGTGAGCCTGGGATGCTGGGCTCCTCCATAGGGAATCAGGGCACTCATGGGGGTGGAGCGGTGATGGGATATGAGAGGAGCCATCTCTGGCAGGCTTGCTTGTGACTGCTGTTGGTCCTTAGAGGGTGTTCATCCACCCTTCCTGCCCTTGAGGCATCGGGCTCTGCTCCCAGGGGACAAGCAATAGGATAGAACATCCTCAAGTTGTGCCAGGGGAGGTTTAGCTTGGATATTGGGAACAATTTATTCCCCAAAGGGCTGTCAGGCCCTGGCCCAGGCTGCCCAGGGCAGGGGTGGAGTCCCCATCCCTGGAGGGGTTTCAAAGCCATGTAGATGTGGTGCTGAGGGACATGGGGTGGCCTTGGCAGAGCTGGGTTAATGGTTGGACTTGATGGTCTTAAAGGTCTTTTAAAGTGTTCAAGGCCAGGTTGGAGCAACCTGATCTAGTGGAAGGTGTCCCTGCCCATGGGAGGTTGGGTGATGATCTTTACAGTCCCTTCCAAGCCAAACCATTCCATCATTCAATGACTGAATGAGTCAGTGATCAAATGAGTCAATGATTCAATGATTCTTTTCCAACCTAAACGACTTGGTGATTCTTCCCTCCTCTCCCAGGTTTCCTCATCTTCCTCTGGTACTGGACCATGGTGCTGCAGGCCAGAAAGCCCTCTGACTCGCAGAGCAACTCCGACAGTGTCAAACTGCAGCCCAACAGCAGCCAGGGCTGAGCCCTGGGGTGGCTGTGGGAGGGTCTGATGCTGTCACTTTGCTCCCACACGTGTTGTGCTGCTGGAAGCCCAGGGAACCACAGCAGACCTGGCCACCCCAGGCCACCCCAGCCTCTCACCTCTGCTGGACTGTTCCCCAGTTTCCCCCTCTCCAGTGCCCCATGGGGCAGCAGCGTGTCCGTCACCTTGGTACACTTGGGGCAGGAGGGTGGGAAGCTCATCCGGGCAGCAAGGGCTGTCCGAGAGAGTGGGATGGGCAGGGACAGGGTCCCTGGAGCCTCTGGGTGTCCCCTCTGATGCTCTGAGACTGGGCATGGTGGGTGGGAAAGGCCGCATCTTCAGTCGTGGTGAGTGGTCACCAAGAGGGTCCTTCCCCAGTGACGACAGGATCACTCTGCCCCAGCAACCCCTCCAGCTGCTGAAATAATCTATTTTTGTTATTTTGTTGGATGTATATTTTTGGTTGTTGTAGAAGTGGGATGAGCACCCGCACACCAGCCTATGTCCATTAAAAGCTGATCCTGCTCAGAGTGCACTGGCTTCTCTGCTGGGCTTTCTGATGGGGTCCATCCCTTGGCCAGGGTTGTCCCATCCCTGGGGCAGCACCCAGTGCTTTCTCATCCTGGGACCAGTAACAGGGCTCCCTGCATCCCAGCACCGTGGGGTCACCTGCTGCCTGCAAGGGCACAGGGGTGATGCGTGGGGACTGCGAGGCCTGGAAGGTGGCCCTGGTGGCAGTGAGGCTCTTCTGCCTGCTGGGAGCCACCTGGGCCCTGTGGTTCCTTACCCATGGCACCCCCCTGCTCTACTTCTTCACCTTATCCTCAGCTCCCTCCAAGGTCAGGGCCAGCTCTGAGATGGGCTCCCTAGCATGGGGTGGGGAAGATGTAGGAAGCAGGAACCAGCCTGGCTGTGGGTTGACCAGGGGTCCCAAGGCACCAGCATCTTCCCAGCACAGCCATGCCCATCCCTTTGGCAGGACATGTCAAGTGGCAGGGCCCTGCCACCAGCGTGGAGCTGGTCACAGCTCCCAACTATGTCACCTCCATCGGGAGTGGCTTTCCTCTAGGGACGCCATTCCTTAGCAGAGGAACGTAGACATGATGCACCCAGGGGATGTCCCAAATAGCTCGTCTGAACTGTGGGGAGACCCTCCTGCAGGATCAGGAGTGAGCTAGAGGGACTCCCTGGAAGTGGCAGGGAAGTGCCAGCAGCATCCCTGTGTGACACTTCCCACCATGTCCTGCTGGTGCTGCTGAGTGTCTGCCTTCCTGCCTGCCTCAGGAGTCTTCATATTCATCTGGCTGGTTGTCCTCTACTACCTGAAGACAAAGGAGATCACTCGCTCCCTCTCCCACATCATCAGATACAACAAAACCACCACAGTCTCCCACAGCCTGCTGGTCCAGCCTCCCTCCTGCCTGCACACACACCTGCTTAGCACGAGCTCCCATCCACATGGATGCAGCTTCCCCACGGGGCCCGAGGGCTCAGTTCACTGTGCCTCAGTTTACTCTTTGGTGGGCAATATCCACCTTATCAGTGCTCTTTGCTTTGGCTCTTTTGTTCCCAGTGACCTGCCTTGGGCAAAGAGCAAGGATCCTTGGGCAAGGATGTCTCATGCCTTTGGCCAAAGTCCCTCTAGGCTGCAGCTGCCCATGGACTCGAAGTGCTCCTGATTTCCTTCGCCAGGGGCTCTTATGGGGACAAGGAGGGAACTGACCACCTTCAGCCAGGATGGAGCCATCCCACTCTTCAGTAGAGATGGCCTTTGGTGCTGGGCCAGCCCAGTGGTGAGTTTTCCTGCTCTTGGAGGTGAGAGGACTGATTTGCTCCAGCCCCAATTTAGGAGGTTCAGGGCTGGGAATCAGCAAAAAAAGAGAAATCCCACAAGCTTCTTTGCAACACATCCTCTCTCAACAGACCAGGGCCAAGACCTTTGGGCAAGGATCTGCTGGACAACCCTCATGAGAAACACCTAGCAACAATTTCCACGAGGACATGGAGCTTCAGCTGACTGTCCCCAAGCAGCCCCCTTGCTGGGAGAACCCTCTTCTCCTCACTGGTTCTTGATGTTAAATTTCTGCCCGATGTCTGAGCACTTAGGGTTTAGTCTTTACTGCTTCCTGTATTGGTTGTTCTTGGCTTTAGATCAGGGATGGGCAAAAATCTTGCTGGCCATTTGTCATGAGTGAAAGGAGAAACTCTATGGGCAGGTGTACACACAGACACACAAACAGAAACACACACTGACACAAACACAGACATACAGACACACATACACGCAAAAACACAGTGGCCCTTTTTCTGCTAATGATGCTTTCACAACCCACAGAACTAGCAAAGTCCAGCTCTGGTGGGCAAGTTCCTAGTGTAGGTACCTCCAGCTTCCCACACACCCTGGGGATTGTCTGGGGAGGAGGAAAGCCCAAGGAAGGACCTTCCCAACCCTCTCCTGCGCTCCAGAGTTCTGGATATTTGTTATCTACAAATGAGGTTGTTTAGCAATGCATCGATCCCCTGCTCTACACAGGGGGATCTACCGCTGCCCAAACCAACCACCTGCTCAGGGCGAGGAAGACTCTGAGCAAACCCCCTGGTTATGCCCTCTGCTCCATGCAACCCCCAGGCCAAGCCCAGAGGCAGGATGTGCTACAGCTGGATCCCACCAGAGCTCAGCAGCCAGAGCTGCTCTTGTACCCCAGCTTTCCTGGGTACACGTCTCAAGTCTAGGGAGTGCAGGCCAAGAGGATCAGAAGGTCCTTGAGGTGCTACAAAGAACACAACCCCTCCGATACAACTCATCCTTGAATCACACTTTGCATCCAACCATCCCAAGAAACCCCTGCAAAGACACAGTCCAGAGCCTCTCTGCTGCTACCACGTTTATTTGCAGCCAGCCGTTCCCTACCCCGCTCGCCGCTGTAGAGACACACACTTTTTCACAGCACGCTAAATTCCTGTTGCAGACAAGTGCTCCTGTTCAGTGGGATGATTTCAGGCTTGAATCAGCCTAAGTGAGACAACATTCATCCAACTGAACGGACAGTGTTACAAGGATGCAGCCATTAAGGAGAAAGGTTGGTTACACGTTCGGGTCCCCTGAGCTGGCACTGAGTCCTGACATGACATCTCCTTGCCAGGGGCAGATTCAGGGAGGTCATCTCCTGAGATGGGTAGGAGCTGCCAGAGCTGGGGGTGCTCCAAGGCCCTGAGGGACTTGCAGGACTCGGCACCTCAACAGGGGCTCCCTTAGCTCAGCATTCATGGTCTCTGAGCTGTGCTGCAGGTGGGCTCACCCCTGGCCCTGCTGCTGGACTCCCTGGGTTGCTCTCGGGGCTCAAAGCAGCCTTGCTGGGCTGACAGGGGGAGGTCCAGCCCTCATTGCCCAGGATGCAGCACCCACAGCCTCCTGGCCTTGGTCCCAAGGGACAAGCCCTGGCTCAGCCCAACCTGTGACTGGGTTGGAGCCCCGGGCCCAGAGCTAACCCCTCTGTGCTGGTCTGGCCACTGGAGCACACTCTGTGTGGCCATGATACCTGAAAGACTCCATTCTTGTGAGCAGGGCAGTGGTTTGAGGAGGCTTTCTAACAACCTGGCATTGCCCAGACAGTACCAAGGGTCTGTGACCTGCTCCTGCCCTCCATGGAGGGACATACCTACCCCCTGGGTCCTGTGGGTCAGTCCTGGAATGGTGGGTCTCTGCTCCCAAGGAAGGATCAGCCAGCAGATGGATGGGCCCATAGGAGACAATCTTATTGTAGTCATCTGCCAGTTCCCGCCTGGTCCTTGAGTGCCCGGGGCATTGCTGCCAACAAAGCCAAGGAAGGATGTTGGGACCAGAGGACAAGGGAGAAACCTGCTCTGGGATAAGGAGCTGTCCCGGTGGTCTCCTCTGGCAGGGGCACAGTTGAGGCTGTAGCCAAGACCCCAGAGAATGGGAGGAGCTGGCTCCTGGTGGCCCTTAACCTGCTCCTCCCCTAGTTCAAGCATCAACTTCTCTTCCTGCAAGTTCCCAGCAGAGAGAGAGGGAAGAGGGAAAGGAGCTCTCTAGTGGATTCACGCTCTTACAGATCAAGGTGCTGGGGTGAGCTCCTGCTATGGGGAGGTATTTATTGTGCTGAGGCACCCAAAACCAGAGCACAGTGCCTTCTCCAGGGCATGGTGCAGACCATGGCAGAGCTCACCTTGGCACAGGGCTCCAGGCTGCCAGGAAGACAGAGCCGGACACGGCAGTGCAGGAACAGCTCGGGGTAACCAGCAAACTGAAACATCTGGAAGCTGAACTTGGCAGAAGTGCTTTCTCCAACAGCATTCAAGAATGTCACTGTCTCATCCTGGGGACACCTGGGACATGGTGGCCGAGTCAGCAGGTGACAAACAAGCAGGGCATCCCAGCCTGGGTCAACACACAGGGACTGGATGGAGCCCCCATGCTGTGCTGACCAGGACTATTCCTGTCTCGGTGCTGATGGGGCTGCCTTTCCTTGGCACCCTGCACTGTGCCCAGCTCAGGGACAAGCTGCCACCAGCACAGAAGCTGGCTCGTGTCTTGCTCTGTGGGGCCGCAGCTGCTCTCCAGGGGTGGAATGAGCCTGGTTGTGGTTCCTGCCTCCCAGAAATGCACATTAGTGGCTTTAGCATGGCTGTAGCTGCCCCTAAGGCAAGGTCTTCAGCAGAGACCTCTCTGCACACCCCAGCAAGGCCTCCCCTCCTGGGCTTCTCCTCCCCAGCTGGCAAGGAGAGATAATAGAGGGAAGGCAGTATTGTTGGCCGCAGAGCAGGATCAGGAGAGGGGACTTGGTTCAGTGTGCTTAGGGGGCTCATCTGTGGGGCTGTTCCACTTGTTCAATGATGGTGTCCGGCATAGGTTCCAGCTCCCTCCCAGCAACCTGTCCTTCAAACCCAGCAGAGAAGTGACTGTGCTTAAGGTGCAAGGAGATCAGATGCGTCAGGGACGCTCCACTCACCCCTTCTCAATGAGCTCGTGCTTCACATCCTGATAGGGATCTGCACTTGGTGTGGCCCAGCAGTCCTCAATGCTCAGCAGAAAGTATTTGAGCTGGTTCTGCCCTTCTAGCT